ATGATTAGTTTAACCATGATTTGTGGAGCTACCATCCTTGGTGGAGCAATTCTAGAGGTTGGGTGGATGAGGGACGTTAAGCCAAAAGAAACTGCTTGAGGATGGAGTCCAAAGTCTGACCTGGGCAGGTAGGACCATCTCAGGAAGGTTTTGGTCAAAGGATGTGATGAACCTGCGTTTCAGAAGGATCATCTCACAGAGGTTTTAGTAAAGTGATTAAATCAATTTATGGCTGCCCATCTCACCACAGGCGACTCTGGGTGGCATGCAAAAAAGCTAAAAGCAGTCAATAAATACATTAAAATATAAAGAGCAAAATAAAACAGAATTTTTAACAGGATGTTAAAAATAAGGGAGCCACCTCACTAACTTCCCCATCACCTGGAATCCCCAGGCCTGCTGGGATAACAAAGTCTTAAGTGACCTCCGGAAGCTCAACAATGATGAGACCAACCTCACCTCAGTGGAGAGAAGTTTCCACAGCGCAGGTGCAGCAGAAAAGGCCCGCCAAATGTAGCTCCTTAGCCGACGGAAGCTGTAACATGCCCTCTCTGCTGGATCTGGTAGGACGGGCAGATGAAATCAGGGAGAGGCAGTCCCTCAGATAGCCCGGCCCCATGCCATGAATGGCTTTAGAGGTCAACACCAGCATCTTGAATTGGACCTGGAAAAAAACTGGTAACCAGTGCAGCTCGCGAAGCAGAGCTGTAATGTGTGTTCTACTAGAAACACACACAACTGCTCGTGCCGCTGCATTTTACACCAGCTGAAGTCTCTGGATACTCTTCAAGGGCAGCCACACGTGGAGCGCATTACAGTAGTCTAACTGGGAGGTGACCAGGGCATGAGTGACCGTGAGTAGGTCCCTCTGATCGAGGAACCGGTGCAACTGGCGCACAATACGAAGTTGTGCAAAGGCCCTCCTAGCCATGACTGCCACCTGCTCTTTGAGCAGGAGTCGTGAGTCCATGAGGACCCTTGGATTGCACACAGGGTCTGTTTGGGGCAGTGCGACCCCATCCAGTACCAAAGATGATAAAATCCTAGAACCAGAGGAGTTCAAAACCCAAAGCCACTCAGTCTTGCCAGGGTTCAGTTGAAGCCCGTTGTTTTCCATCCAGATTCTCACAGCCTCCAGGCACCAGGATAAGACATTCACAGCATCACTTAAGTCGCCAGGGGTTGAGATGTAGAATTGAGTATCATCAGCATACTGATGACAGCTCACCCCATGGTGACGGATGAGCTCACCCAGCAGTTTCATGTAGCTGTTAAGTAGGAGAGGTGAGAGCACCGACCCCTACGGCACCCCACATAGCAGAGGGTGGGGGTGGGATCTCTCCTCCCCAATCACCACTGACTGGAACCGACCCTGGAGGAAGGAGGCGAACCAACACAATGCCGTGCCACCCACCCCCAATTCTCTGAGTTGGCCCAGAAGGGTACCACGGTCGATGATATTGAAAGCTGCCAAGAGGTCAAGTAAGGCAAAGATGAACACACAACCAGCATCCCGCCGATGCCAGAGATCATCTAAAAGCATGACCAATGCTGTTTCTGTACCATACCCAGGTCTGAACCCTGACTGAAAAGGATCTAGATAGTCCACTTGATCCAAGGTCCTCTGAAGCTGCTGCGCAACCACTTTCTCAAAAAGGGAAGATTGGATACTGGACGAAAATTGTCCAATATTGTTAGGTCCGGTGATGGCTCCTTGAAGAGGAGGTGAATGAGAGCCTCTTTAAGAGGTGCAAGAACAACCCCCTCACTCAAAGAAGAATTCAACATTGCCAGTACCGACCCACACGACACCCCCCAGGCTGCTTTCACAAGCCAAGAGGGGCATGGATCTAGAGAGCGGGGGGCTGAGCTCACAGTCCTAAGGACCCTGTCCACTTCCTGAGGTGCAACAGGTTCAAACCGTTCCCAGATGAGCAGGCAAGACTTCACCCTAGGCATGTCCCACAAACTTGCAGCAAAGCCAGCATCCAACTGTGAATGAATCTGGGCAATTTTATCCGACAGATGCTCAGCGGATTCCTCCGACCCTGCAAAAGGTGGTCCGGGCCCCCTGTACTTAAGAGGGTCCATATCACCCAAAACAGGGCTGTGGGGCAGCAATCTGCAAATGCAATAGGAGTGGAGGAGTGCTGTCACTTTGCTGCCCTTACTCCCACTTGGTAGGCCTTTATAGCAGCTCTAACCTGTGCTCAGTAGAGTTCATTCTTAGATGAGCACCAGCGATGCTGTAAACATCTCATTTCGTCTCCCTCAGCCCCTCCGCAAACCATGGGAAGTGACAGGATCCATGGGAGGGGAGGGGTCACATAGGTGCGATCCAATCCAATGCCTCAGCTGCCCTTTTTATTCCAGGAAGCAACCAAGGCTTCGGATGGGCCATGCAACAGACCACCAGGATCAGCCCCCTGCTCCCTCTGGAACCCCTCCGGGTCCATCACTCTCCAGGGGTGGACCAGTCTCATTGCAGTGGATAGCAGCGCCAGAGAATCCCATGGTAATCAGGCTGTGATCTGACCATGAAAAGGAGGACACCAACAACTCCCCCAATTGCAGTCTTTGGTCAAAGGATTGCAAAGATGCAATGAGCCTGCCTTTCAGAAAATGGAGGGCTGAATTGACCCCCAACATGAAGCTTTGCAAACTGTGAGGAATAGGATGGCTGGTGTGGGTCTTCCGGGCTGTGTGGCCATGCTCTGGAAGTTTTGTTTCCTAACGTTTCGCCAGCACCTGTGACCGGCATCTTCAGAGTGAGGAATACCTTCCCTAAACCATAAAGAAAGAACAGGAAGCCATTCTAGGAGGAGGGACGTGTTAGTCTGTGGTGGCAAAAAGAGGCATGTCCACATATTCCTACGTGGGATGTACGATCTGTATGTATGGACCTACCTAACATATATGAGTCCTGTGCTGGTCCCTGCAGTGTGTCTTGTTATAATCTGCATCACCTCCCAACCAAGTGAAAGAAAAAGACGGAGGTCATACCATTTCAGACAAGCAAATGGGGAGTGACAGGGACTCTGCTAATCTTGCTAAGAACCAGAGTGGGGAGATCTCAGGTCAGATGCACGGGAAAAATCCCAGCATTGCTTTGATTCGGGTGGGAGGAATCAGGTTTTGGGGGCACCTTGGTAGCTCATGTAAGGCGTTTCCTAGCTATTGTTTGGGCTATTTTTGGAGCTGGAGAACGAAACTTCCTCTCTTCTTCACTTCTTTTTCCTTCATCCAACAGGTGCTGCCTGGAAAAACCTGTGGCCAAGGTTTTGCTTGCAAATTGTCTCTGGTTAGAAAGCCTTGCAAGGGAGAAGCCCCCGGAAACCATGCAGGGGGGGAAAGCCTTCGACCGAAGGTCCCCTCAGGGGAAGCTGCGGAGACTGGCCACATGCTCCGAGTGTGGGAAATCCTTTACTCACCGTTCCCTCCTTTTGATCCACCGGAAGGGGCACACGGGGAATGGATCGCATCTGTGTTTGGAGTGTGGGAAATCCTTTCCTGGAGTGTGGGGCTTTGCCAAGCATCTCAGGAGCCACGCCGGACTAAGGCCCTACAAATGTGGAGAATGTGGAAAGTGTTTTGCCAAAGGGTCGGACCTTGGAGCCCAT